TCGTCCTTCTCTTCGTTAAACTAGATATACCCAATTCCAGCAACCGTTCCTTATATGTTTTAGCCTCCAGTCCCCTAATCATCTTTGTTGCTCTTCTCTGTACTCTTTCTAGAGTCTCAACATCTTTTTTACATCGTGGTGACCAAAACTGGATGCAGGATTCCAAGTGTGGCCTTACCAAGCCATTGTAAAGTGGTATTAATACTTCACGTGATCTTGATTCTATCCCTCTGTTCATGCAGCCTAGCACTGTGTTGGCCTTTTTGGCAGCTGCAGCACATGACTGGCTCATATTTAGGTGATTGTCTACTAGGACTCTGAGGTCCCTCTCACAGTTACTACTATTGAGCAAGGTGCCACCTATGCTGTACTTGTGCATTTGGTTTTTCTTGCCTAAATGTAGAACCTTGCTTTTTTTCACCATTGAATTAATGTTGACTGTCTTTTCTTCTTGAGTAAGTGCATAAGTAGCTGAACTAGTGCTTGCTTCCCAATTACTGTGTTGTTGCTAAAAAAAATTAAAATGTCCAAAGCTGTTTTGTTAAACCTAAACCCAAAGGGAGTCTATGTAATGCACGATGGCATCCCTTTTGGTTCTGTTTCATGATTTCCCTTAGTCCATCCCAAACTTGACTCAAAGATCTGGGGTGTCTTATCTTCTAGGAACAGCCCGATTTAAAAATATCTAGGCATTTGGCAACAAAGCACATATGTTGGTGATTTTCTGGCAGAGGTGTAGGGATTTTCCAGGAAGTCTGTGGTTTATGGGATAGCTGATCCCCTGCAGATGGCTCAGTTCTTTGCTATAAAATGTAAAAATATTCCATCCTGTAAGCTCTATTTAAGGGACTTGGGCTTAGCTACTTTATTACCAAATTGGATTGATTACTAATACTGGTAGGTAAGATCTTGGTTTCACCGTGGTTTTGTACCCCCACTCACAAATTGAATTATTGCGGTTTGTAAGCAGCTGCTAAATTGTGCGTATGTGTACAGTTTTACCTATAAGTCTGCCTTTTCCAGAAGGAAGTTAAAAGCTCACAAATTGAACAGGAGTCTTTGGTGATTTTTTTTTCATTGCTGCTTCGAGTACAAAGGAGTCGAATCTGTTCTTTGCAGGCTGTGATGTCCTAGTTAGTTAACTTTCTTTTTCGGGTGTGCCGGAGGAAAGGAAAATCCTCAACAAACAACATTTTGTGCCAGTTCCAGTGGAAAGTTTACCCATGGCTGTGAGTCATTTCATAGCAGGAGGCTTTTATAACAGAAAAGCACATCGTCTCTGAGCATTTAGGCAAAGGGAATCTGAGCGTTGGTTGGGCACCATACTGCTAACCTCGGTGCGATTTTCCTTGCGTGCCTAATGGCTGTTTTATTCCGTCTCTCGAAATAAAAGGCACAAAAGAACAGAACAGAATAACAGAGAGGGGCGGGATCTTGGAGGTCTTCTAGTCCAACCCCCTGCTGAAGCAGGAAACCCTATTCCATTTCAAGACAAATGGCCGTTCCTCTTTAAAAAACTCCAATAATGAAGCAGCATCCACAACTTCTGGAGACCAGTCCAACTGCAATAAATACCTTAGCCTCTGAAATGAAACACTTGAAGAGAATAAACGTAGCTCAGGGTTAAACTGTGAAGTCCTTTGCGCTCTACAAGCTTGCTTGTTTACTTGCAGATGTTTCTTTTTGCAATTGTAATGGGTAACGTCGGCGTGAGTGATCGTGAAACAGTTTTCCAGATTAAAAAGATGCATGTGCATAAGTTTAGACCCAGTTGTACTTACTGCTTTCAAAGTTGTTCCTATTTATTCCCAGATACAAGGGCTCTACCATTTCGATAATATATTCTTTAACACAGACTTGTCAAACACAAGGCCCAGGGGCTGGATGCAGCCCGCGAAGTGGTTTCATGTGGCCCACGAAGCCATCCTGGAAACAGTGAGGGAACCGCCCCCGCTGCCTTGGCCCTGGCCCAGGCCGGCCGGGAGCCAATGTACAATTTTGTAGTGGCCATCTATGCTGAAACGCATTCAGTCTTAGCTCCACAAGGCCATCTGGAAACAGCAAACCAGCCCCTGCAGCGTCGCCCCTGTCCCCTGGGTGCATGCTGGGGAGGTGTCACCCTTTGTGAGGAACGAAGAAATGCACCATCGCCTGGAAGTGGCCAGCAAATGGCCCTCGCCTACTTCACGTATCCGGCTTGATGGGCTCTGCCCTGGTCCCACCTCTTTCTGCCACAGATCTGTCGCACTCCTGCCCAGGCCCCCACAGGCACTCTTGACACAAATGATGTAGAGCTGGCCACACCCACCCAATAGGCCACACCCACTCCATCCATGTTCATCCAATAGGCTGCACCCCCCCTGGCCGCCACCCCCCCCCCCCCGAGGGCAACTGCAATGCTGATGTGGCCCTCAGTGAAATTGAGTTTGACACCCCTGCTCTAACATGTCTTTTTTTTTTCTTGTGCATAGTCAAAGTCTCCATTACATTCAAGCACAATTTTTTTAGAGCAGTGGTTCTCAACCTTTTTAATGCCGCAACCCCCAACCGGTCGTAAGTCGAGGACTACTCAACGGGTGCAGCACCGTTTGCAGAATGGGACTTTTGGCGGGCTCAGCAGGGCAGAGACAGCCTGGACAATTCCTATTGGCTTTTGCAAGCCAATAGAATTAGACTCTATTCAAGAGAGTCTATTCTATTGGCTTTCAAAAGCCAATAGAATAAAAGGGAGTAGCACAGCTAAGGAAAAGGGGGAAAAAATGGCGGACTGCGTTGCTTGGCGACCCCCGTGAAATGGTCGTTCGACCCCAAATGGGGTCCCGACCCACAGGTTGAAAACCACTGCATTAAAAAGAAATTCATCTCTTTTTTTCACAAAAGCAAATCCTCTATTGACCAGTCAGTAGTTAGCTTACACCAGAGAAAGCCAACGTCTGTATTAGTATGCTGTTTAGCAAAAGGGGGCACAATGGCTCAGTGGTTAAAAAGGCTGAAGTTGACAGTCTGGGTTTGAGACCTGAGCGCCGCACGACGAGGTTGAGCTCCCGTTCCTTGCTCTAGCTCCTGCCCACCCAGCAGTTCAAACTGCAAAATGCGATTAGATTAAATAGGTATCACTTTGGTGGGAAGGTAATGGGTGCCATGTGCTCAGTGTAGAATCCTAACGCCGGATATGTCTTCGGACTACGCTGGCTCCCTTGGCTAAGAAACGGAGATGAACACAATGCCCTTGAGACGGACGTGACTGGACAGGAGAAAACTTTGCAGTAGTGGCCAAATTTGTGGAAATCTTTTGGGAAAAGTGTACAGGAAAAATGCCATCTTTGGTTAAGTTTCCACCCATTTTTCTTCTAATGTCTTTATAATTGTAGCCTTATTCACTTCATAACACTATTTTACATCGCTTTCTGGACGACCGGTCAACTCTTTGCATTGTTACTTTAATTTTATTATGTTTTACAAGCTCACAAGAACATAACAAAACCCAACCAACTTGATAGTGATCACACCGACTAATGTCCTCTTCTCAGCTTCAATATATGACATCAATAACTGAACCCTACTGTGATCTGATTGGCTCATTGCCAAAACAAGATGACACTCGATTGGCTCCCTAAGCACTCACGCTCATTGGCTACAATCAGATGAAGGAAAGCTACCTCAGATCAACCTAAGCAAGTGGTGCTTCCTTTTTCTGGTTATTTGGCTATAGCTTTTCATAGAATACAGTATAAATAATACAAACTTGGTTGCATTACATTCTTGATTAAATTATCTTTTCCATTGATTTATAATTTTATGGTACTACTACAAAAAAAAGTGGTGTTATTAGTCATCAAACCTCAAAAATACACTTTTCCCAAAAGGTTTCCACAATTTTGGCCACTACTGTATATTTTCGCAGTTGAATCCAGGATATTGTGGACTTTTTTTCCACTTAACATGTGTTTTAAATCAGTCAGTAGGAACCACTAATGGTTATGAATCATATGGAGTTGTAGGTCTTGCCGAACAAGCACTAATATCATTTATGAATATAGAATAACAGAGTTCAAAGCGACGTTGTTGGCCTTCTAGTCCGGCTGAGGCAGAAGACCCTATACCAGGGGTAGGCAACCTCGGCTCTTTTATGACTCATGGACTTCAATTCCCAGAATTCCTGAGTCAGCTATGAATTCTGGGAGTTGAAGTCCATGAGTCATAAAAGAGCCGAGGTTGCCTATCCCTGCCCTATACCATTCCAGACAAATGGCTGTCCAATCTCATCTTATAAATCTCCAGTGATGGAACACCCATAACTTCTGGACGTAAACTATTCCATTGATTGATCGTTCTCATCATCAGGAAATTTCTCCTTATTTCTAGTTTGGTTCTTTCCTTATTTTATTCTTTATTCAGGTTCAGGATCTGAAACTTTGTTTTATATTTCATTTGGCAGCTTTTTTCATTGAAACTGATCTTTTTGATGTTTTCATTCAGTGATAGCCTCCTTAAACTCCATTGCGTTGTTTTATCCTGTCGGTATTCTGCCTGTTACTTTGAATATAGCATAATAATAGCTGTCTATTAGTGCTGGCTTTGGCACCGTTGGGTTTTACAGACCCAAAGCGGCATATACAGCGTTGAAAAATGAGATCTGGCCAATAATATTCGGTTAATAAAAAGTATTTACAGAATTACGGAAACGAAGTTTCAGACTAGAGTCTGCAGTTGGGTTGGGCTCCTGCTTAAAAGCAGATGCGAAAATGATGATTTCAACCTTTGAACAAAATGACTCACATTTTGTGGGTTTGTGTGGTGGAACAACTACGAGAGCGGATAGAATGGCTTTTCTTTTTTCTGTCACCAAGAGATTGGGCAAGATAGATCGCATTATATTTTGCCTCCCCAGTAAATTGCTTTTTTAATAGTCGTCTTCCGTTTAGCGCTCGCGGCTTATTTCTTATTGACAGGTGACCCAACGCATCAGCCACTAACATTCATGTTTTTTTTTTAAACAGGTATTCGTTACAGCACAGAAGTGAGTGTTGATGAAGTGAAAGCTTTAGCTTCTCTTATGACTTATAAATGTGCAGTAGTTGGTAAGTAATTCTAAATGAATGCCTGGGTCCACACGTCCCTTCTAAAGCCAGGGCCTTTAATTTTGTCAGAAAGATGTTTAGGTATTGAAGTAACGTCCTGTGAGGGAGGTGACCCCTCTCCACAGATTTGGTGGGTGGGCTTCACTTGCAAGGTCTATGCCAGTGGTGGCGAACCTATGGCACGGGTGCCAGAGGCGGCACTCAGAGCCCTCTCTCTGGGCACGCGCACCGTCGCCCCAGTCCTAGGCCTTCAGCTGGGTTTTATAAAACCTTTTCGCTTTAGGCCTCTGCTGCCATGTGCAAAAAAAAAAAAAAAAAAGGTTCAAACAATCAGTCAATTTCAACTTCTCGCGGGGAAAAAAAAAGATCTTGCAAAGTTGGAATTGATTGATTTGTCTTTTTAGTCCCACCCAGTCTGCCATTACCACTGCAGCCACGCCCAGCCAATGGGCCACACCCACCCGGCACCCGATGATGCGTAAGTGGGTTTTGGGTTGCAGTTTGGGCACTCGGTCTCTAAAAGGTTCGCCATCACTGGTTTATGCTTTCCTGGGAATTTTAAGTTTCCTGTTTTCTTGGTGTGCCTGAAAATGAAGGATATCCAGTGGTGGGATTCAGCTGGTTCGCACCGGCAAAACCGGTAGCTGATTTTTTGTTGCCCAGGCCCAGAACGGACTTCCGGAAGCGGCATCCGCACACAGAACCGGTGGTTCACCTATTTGAATGCCACCACTCAGGTTATCCCTGGAGTAGAGATATCTGCTCTGCCAATTTTAGAGCATCTTTTCAGAGATAACATTTCTAGTCTTCATCTAGGCTCTGCGTGCCGCTCCTTTTCCATTTATGAAGCAGAGAAAAGTGGATTAAATCTGATCCAATGCAAGCTTTTTAAAACTCCTGTCCTAGCCGATCAAAATTAGCAAAACAAGAAATAAGTGAGCATCTATCTCTGAGCAGAGTGGTGCCACGTCAAACCTTTGTAGAGGTTTTTTGCAGACCTAATTAAAAGCTGCAATACATAAAAGAAATATCTCGTTTTTCATATGTAAACAATTCTTGTAAAAAATTGGTCATGAATCTCCACTTTTCACTATATTGAAGAGCGTGCTGAATTATTTTAAAACAAATCATTGTCTATGGGTTTTGTTGTTGTTGTTTTATTATTTTTCATTTTCTGTTGATATCTCTGTGACTAATTCCTGAAGTGGAAAAGGGAAGACAGGCATCCGAGCTAGCGATAAGATAAATCTTTACCATCTTTACATTCTTGTCCTTTGTTTTGTTTTTTTTAACTTAAGCGTGAACATTTGTTTGCAGATGTGCCATTTGGTGGTGCAAAGGCTGGTGTTAAGATCAATCCTAGGCTATATACAGTAAGTTCCATATCCAGAAAAATATGCTTTTAATCGGCATGTTTAGGCTTGTTTAGGTTGCTGTTTTCCTGACCTAGACCAGTTAGGACAATGCAATGAATTCTATATTTTCTTGGCGTGGAGAGATTAATTGCATACATACATACTTATCCCTTTCAGATAAGCAATAAACATCTGGATCACAGGAAAAGTTGCCAGATGACCCTATGAGTGCTGCCTGTCTTTACTTTGGTCAACTGAGGCTGTCACCCTTTTTCTGAAATAAAAAGAATGACTTGGTTAGCAGCTGAATTGTGGCCAAGTCCCTACACGTCGTCCTTGACTTACAACCTTAATTGACCCCCAAAATTTCTGCTGCTAAGTAACACATTTGTTAAGTGAGTTTTGCCCCATTTTACGACTTTATTTGCCACAGTTGTTTAATGAATCACTGCAGTTGTTAGTCACACAATTGTTAAGTGAATCTGCCTTGCTCATTGACTTTGCTTGGTCAGAATGCCACAAAAAAGGGATCAAACGGCCCCGGGACATGGCGACCGTCATAAATACGAGTCGGTTGCCAGAAATCTGAATTTTGATCTAGTGACCATGGGGAAGGCTGCAACGGTCACAAGTGTGAGAAATGATCACAAGTCATCTTTTTTCAGAGCTGTTGTGTAACTTCGGACAGTCACTTAAATGAACGGTTGTAAGTCAAGAATTACCTGTACAACAGTGGCCAAAATTGTCGAAACCTTTTGGGAAAAGTGTATTTTTGAGGTTGGATGGCTAATAACACCACTTTTTTTTCTTCGAGTAGTACCATAAAATTATGTATCAATGGAAAGATGATTTAATCAAGAATGTAATGCAACAGAGTTTGTTCAATTATCTGTGCTGTATTCTATGAAAAGCTACAGCCAAATAATCAGAAAAAGAAAGCACAACTTGTTTAGGTTGATCTCAGGGACCTTTCCTTCATCTGATTGTAGCCAATGAGCACGAGTGTTTAGAGAGCCAATCGGGTGTCCTCTTGTTTTGGCAATGAGCCAATCAGATCACAGTAGGATTCAGTGATTGATGTCCTGTATTGAAGCTGAGAGGAGGACATTTGTCAGTGTGTTATGTGATGGCTATCCAGTTGGTTGGGGTTTTTTTGTGTTCTTTCATTGAGTGAGCTTATAAAACATGATAAAATTAAAGTAATGGTGCAAAGAGTTGCCTGGTTGCCCAGAAAGCGATGTAAAATAGTATTATGAAGTGAACAAGGCTACAGTTATAAAGAAATGAGAAGAAAAATGGGTGGAAACTTAACCAAAGGTGGCATTTCTACTGTACACTTTTCCCAAAAGGTTTCCACAATTTTGGCCACTACTGTCTATGAGGAAGGATGCAGTATTGGTCCAATGTTGCATGTTTGGGCCAATATGCCAATAAAAGAGCCATTTGCCTGGCCTGCTCTCATTCTGCACAAGTTAGAATGTAAATTAGAGACCACTTTGCAAGCCAACTTACGTTTTGGAGGCATGGGCTGTGCAGTGACAAACACTTAGGGCGAGAGGAATGAAATAAAAAGGATTTATTCCAATCGGAAGGTTTCAAGATAAAGGGTGGATCAGAATCATTGCATTGGAATATTGTAATCCTTCGTTTTATTTACGGTGTGTTTCCAGCAATCCTAACGTGGCGGTTGACGTCATTAAAAGTCATTGTTATAATTTAACCATGAAACCACGGAGATCTAAAGAAAGGTTACAAATCTGAAACAGCATGAAAAATGCTGAATTTGACCGCAGCGACCAATTAGCGATAGCAGACTTATAAACCGCTTCATCCTGCTTTACAACCCGTGGGTTGTAAAGAGCTGGCATATCACCCCCCCCCCCCCCAGCAATCTGGATCCTCATTTTACTGACCTCAAAGGGATGGAAGACTTGAGTCAACCTTGAGCCACTGAGAATCGAACTCCTGGCAGTGGGCAGAGTTAGCCTGCAATACAGCAGTTAAACCACTGTCCTATTAAACTCTGGCAGGACGCTGTAGTACCAGTTTAACCAAAAACCCGAGCAAAAACTTGTATTTACTTGAAGAGGGAGGGAATTTTACAGCACAATAAACACATTTTCCTGCGGCCCCTTCTGCCTCCAAGAGGCAGAGTATTTTTCCTGACCTCACAGCTGTCCAGTTGTAGAATAGCTCCCTTCTCTTATTCTGGCATTTTTGAGTTCAGAGGTTGGGAAGATGAATATTAGCAGTTACTTTCCCAGTTCACATAAAATCCAAAACGTTGGGTTGGGCTGGTACCTCACTTCTTATTGCAGAGTGGCTAAGCCAGGACTAGTAGATGGCCTAGGTCAGGGGTAGGCAACCTGGGCTCTTTTATGACTCGTGGACTTCAACTCCCAGAATTCCTGAACCGGCATGGGTCAGTTTGGAAACCTCTCCCTTTCCCCTCAGCATGGCTGGCTCAGGAATGCTGGGAGTTGAAGTCCACGAGTCATAAAAGAGCCAAGGTTGCCTGGCCTAGGTCTAGGAACTATTGGCTAAACCTTTGTTAAAATCATGAGTGTTGACCTTAGGCGTTGCTTACCCACCTCCTGGATACTAACTGTCTCCTTTGTTGTTGTAGGACAATGAATTGGAAAAAATCACAAGACGGTTTACCATAGAACTCGCAAAGAAAGGCTTTATTGGTACGTAATATCAGAATATCTGTATTGATTTTGGCGAGAGGGATCATTCAGCGGTACTCTCCAACTGTGCCCCCCAAAAAAGCAGCATGCCTCCCCAAAAAAGCAGCACTGGTAACTTGAGTGTGGTACTGCATGTTCTGAATATACTCAGAAGGACAAGAGTGTTTTTGTTGCCTTGTTTTAATTAATCAGCTACAGCAAAGCCTCGGCTTGCACGCTTGATGCGTTTGGCTCCAGGGATGTTCAAAATTCACTCATCTGGGAACAGAATTTTTCCAGATTGATGAATTGTCACACCTCTGTCTTCAACACTCCACATCAAGCCTACTTACAAAATCATATTAAAGAGATCAGCTCTTACTTGGCTTGTTAAGCTGTCAAATCAAAAGAGCAATTTGACGTGTTTGTTCGCTTCCTAGCTGAGCTCTGGGCTGGTTGGAGAAACGGCCAATTTTATCCTGTTCCCTTTTTGCTGTAAACAGTATGTTCTTTTTTTAAAAAAAAAAAAAAAACAACTTTAAGGTACAGATTTCTTTTTTTCTAGAAGTGGGGATAGTCTACTTCTTTTTGTCTTCTAATGGAATGGGGACATTTCCCTCCATTTAGGCCATAATCATTGCGTCCATTAATAAGGACAGTATTACTTCTAATGGCTGTGCAGCCTAACCCTAACCTAACCGTAAGCAATACCACAGCTGAATCTTCCAGTTTCCATGCACAGAACAGTTTGTGTTTAATGGTGCGTCCCCTCTTTGTTTCTGATTGTGCCAAACAGGGCCTGGTGTGGATGTGCCTGCGCCTGACATGAGCACCGGTGAACGGGAGATGTCGTGGATTGCCGATACCTACGCTAATACCATAGGACACTACGTAAGTTGTGATGACCCAGGGCATAGCACAGAGGCAATGCAGTCAGCTGGCAATTCAAACCGCCCTTTAATTGCTCCAAATTTTCCCCATATGCTCCCACTTTCCTGGCAAGCCTCTAAACAAAGGAAGATGCACACACCTCTGGCTGCAAGTAGTTTCACATACAGTCTGATTAAGAGAGGAATTTACTCAAGGCCACGGAGATAAGAAAGAATGACAGCATACATCATAAACCTAAGGAGTCTCACGCTTGCCTGAGCAGTTTCAAAAGGGAAGCCAAAATACAGTCCGAGTTGTTTAAACACCCAAGCAACTTTATCAGCCAGTCCAAGGGTCAGAGTGTCCGGGTTTCCAAGCAGAAGTCACAGAACAAGAGATCAACAACAACACACACACAACACTCCAAGGAATCAGTGTTTATTCTGACAAATGCCTCTCCCCATAGCGTCTCCTTAAGTCTCAATCCCCAGGTGTGCCTTGTGGAGAAGAGTGGGATCTCTCCTCCTAAGTAGCTGAGCTTGCCTGCATTGTTCCCTCCCTCCTCTCCACTCTCTGTGCTCTAGGATCAGGTGGGGATGGCCCTTGCTCATCGTCTGAACTCTGTCTCTCCTGTTCATCCTGTCCCCATCCTGAAGGGTCCTGGCCTGCCTCGGCCTGCTCCTCCCCACATTCCTCTGAAACCACAGACACCTCTCTCTCAACCTCCATAAGATCCCGTTCCAGCTCATTTTCCTCTGCAGATTCATGCTCTGACGGAGGCATGACATAAGTTCTGAACAAAAGCGCAAGCTTCACTTATGTCACAGTGGCCTTACGACATGTTGCGTACAACCTAACATAGACCTGGAACAGATCTGCAGTTCTTTGGACAAGCAGGATAAGGCCAGCATAAGATCTATAGGTCTGCAAGCATCACTGTTGAATCAGAGTCTTTCCTCAAATAGTTTAATTGGAAATATGTATATCTCTGAAACACTTTACTTGATTTAAACACGAAGGGTCCCTGGTGCTCTCCAAACTTGGTGGTTTTCTTGCGGACGTTTCAGAACCCAAACTAGGCAACATCATCAGAAACCAGGATGACTCTTTCGCAAATTAAATTCTCCAAATATAATGGTAATGTAGGAATTGTCCTTCAGCTTTAACTTTCTGCCTGCAGAATGAGGAGTCCAGCTAGTTTCAATTCTCAATTCCACCTCAAGCTGTTCCTCCAACAGGACAGGTGGCTGCATCTGTGTCTCTGTGGTCCTCTCTAGCAATGTGCTAGGTGATTGAGTGGGGTTACCTAACACGGTATAGGAGAGCTTCTCTACCACACATTACAAAAAAGATGCTGAGATTTTGGGAAAAGTGCAGAGAAGAGCAACTAAGAGGATTAAAGGACTGGCGACAAAAATATATGAAGAACGGTTGCAGGAATTGGTTATGGCCAGTCTAGAGAAAAGAAGGACTAGGGGGGATGTGATAGCAGTATTCCAGTATTCCAGGGGCTGCCACAAAGAAGGGATCAAATTTTCCAAAGCACCAGAAGGCAAGACAAGAAACAAGGGAAGGAAACTAATCAAGGAGAGAAGCAACCTAGAATTAAGGAGAACCTTCCTAACAGTGAAGACAACCAGTGGAACAGCTTGCCTCCAGATGTGGTTGCTTCACCACTGGAAGTTTTTAAGAAGAGACTGGACAGCCACTTGTCTGAAATGGTATAGGATCTCCTGCTTGAGCAGAGGGCTGGATTAGAAAACCTCCAAGGTCCTCATATTAACACAATCTATCGACTCACGTTCAAAGGCCCCACTGGCTTCCCTTGCCTGCTAGTTCTCTCTGTATTGGAGCCATAAATTAATAAAGATGCACATGGAGGCGGAGATCTTAGCACGTTTGCCAAGATTGATGCCCCAAGCTTTGGCATTGGTTGCCACTTGAGATTAAATAATGTTAGATTTAGATAAAACCAGTCTAGTTCTGTCTGCAGAAATCTGTACTAGTAATCTGTATTTAGTTCATGTTGAGGTGGTTGTTTTTGCATTGTTGCTATGCACTGTTAACAAACTGGCATAAAACTATGAAAACAGTTCATCTGTTGGACATAAATTCCATCCGTGCTGTAATAGCCCTAAAGTGAGACCGTGCCCGATTCTAAAAATCGACAATATTTAATAATAATTGAAAGCTTTGCTTTCCGATTTTGACAACTGTTATCATCGACTTGGGAAAATAATCTTTTTGGAAATAACGGTGCCAGGGAGCTTTTCTTTTGAACTTCAGTTTTGTACCCAGTTGTCCTCCACTAGAAGGCAGTGGGGAAAATTTGAGACTAGGATTTTTTGGGGCCACCAAGAGAATGTCCTTTCTTTCAAAATTCTTTTTCATTATTCCACGCATGAGCAAGCAATTGAATTATTCCACTTCGGTTCATCCGAGTTAACATGTTGCTTATTCAGAGGGACCATGGAAACAGTTTTCTAAACAGCCTCTTGACTGACTCCATGGTCCTCTCTCACATTTTTATTTGAGACGGATACTTAAAAGTTTGGCAAAAAAAAAATCACTCCGAATTGCAAGGCTATATAAAGTTTCGACTAAGTGACAAATGCTCTATGTGTAAATTCTTCAGGCCTTTGTTTTCCTGCGCGCCCATTGTGGAGAGGAGAAAAAAAGAAGAAAATAATTTGCTCTTTAGTATTCTAGTCCACAAAGCCGCAGCTCTAAATAAATTTTCCCTCTTTGGCTAGATTTATTAAGAGAGGTTTTTCTGCCTTGATTCACTGGCATTCTTCTCTGTAGCACATTGCTAAAAATAGACATGTTCTTGCTTTCGGGTCTAATGTCGTAGAGAATTCACTGAAAAGTCCTTATTTTATACTGTAATTGGGAATGCCTTAATCGATAGTTTGTTGCCTAAAGGAATTTATTTATTGCTCATCTGACTGGTGCAGATCATGAATTTAAAAGCCAGTGGCTTTTCTTCGTAGGGGATCGTCTGTGTGTGATGCAGTGCTTGTTTATTTGAGGTGCCAAATCTCATCTGCTTTATCAAAGATTTTTGTGAAGCTCAAAAGCCTACTAATAGACAAGAGTTGATTTAAAAAATATATGTGTTTTATAGGATGTTCTGATTGAAAGTCTATGGAGATTCTCAATCATCCAGGCCATGGTTGTCCCACAGGGGCTTTTTCAAAAGGCGGGTGGATTGTCTTCGTTTTTCCTTGAAGACGTTTCACTTCTTATCCAAGAAGCTTCTTCAGTCCTGACTGAATTCTGATTCGGTCAAGTTGAGGAAGCTTCTTGATTCAGTCAGAACCGAAGAAGCTTCTTGGATGAGAAGCGAAATGTCGTCAAGGAAAAACGGAGAAAATCCACTTGCCTTTTGAAAAAGCACCTTTGGGATTCTGGTCGAAAGCTTATCAGTTTAAGATTAAGATGAACGGTTTGTTGTTTCATTGCTACTCCAAGGTGCTTAATAATCTATCTAGACAAGGGAAGAAGAATTGAGCCTCTAAATCACGGCAACCTGTGGCTCCGGAGCTGTATGTGGTTCTTTGAGCCTTCTCCTGTAGCTCCCAGCCTCCTCTGCTATTTGCACAGAGACAGAGAGAGGCACTTGCGCTTCCCTTCTCTCTCTCCCTCCCCGTGTGTGTGTGTGTGTGTGTGTGTGTGTGTGTGTGTGTGTGTGTGTGTGTAAAAAAGAGAGTGACCTCGGACAAGCTGACAAGCTTATTTGGCGGGGCTCCTTCCTTTGCTGAGTCTCAGCAGGAAGCAGCAGCTCTCCCCCTTCTCTTTCTCTCTCTCTCTCTCTCTCTCTCTCTCTCTCTCTCTCTCTCTCTCTCTCTCTCTCTCTCTCTCTCTCTCTCTCACACACACACACACACACACACTGAGTGGGGGAAGAGGACTGGCAGATCAAGGGCAGGAGAGAGCCAATAAGAATGTGTGTCAGCTAGTCAGAGAACAGCGTGAAGCCAGCTTGTCAGATGAGCAGAAGATCGGAGAGAGGAAGAGAACTCATTCACAGCAGCCTCTATTTCTTTTTAATTAAACTTTTCAATCAAGCTCCCCCCCTTTGTATGTGTGCAGCGCGCAAGTTTTGTGGCTCCCAGTGTTTTATTTTCTCTGGAAAACGGGTCCAAGTGGCTCTTTGAGTGTTTAAGGTTGCCGACCCCTGGGTTAGGCCCTGCCATCTCTTCTCTTGTCGAAGCTTCAGATGGCAAAGCTGAATATGGTTGAGCAGAATACCCCCAGCAGAGTTTTACGGTGCATGATGTGGGCACTATGACAACAGCATTATATACTTTATAACAAATGAAACAAGAGCTTCATTTCGTAGGAATCTTGACTCATCGGCCAAAGAAAATAATAACTGGGAGCGGTGAGTCAGATGTATTAAGCCTCGAGACAAGCCAAGAGGGAAGAACATTGGCATTTTGAAAGAATTCCCATCAAATGTAAACGAAAGAAGAATTTAAAAAAAAAAATGTAAAGCAAATACACTGTGAGCTAAATTTGTGACGCGAAAGAAGCTGCTTCTGAGTACAATTCTCAAGGACTCCTTTTTAGCAGGCCATCTTGAGAAGGAATTTGAGCAACTTTCCTGCTTCTCATTAAGAAGCAATTTATGCCTTTGTGCTGTAGAGCAGAGATGCTTCTATTTTCTAACGGTCCTGCTGTGATCAGTTACTAAAGGGGGGGGGGGAGAAGCTTGCAGCTGGCTGTTTATATGATAGATTCCTGAATGTTGGCCAATCTGGTTCCTCTCGGAAATCCAGAGATAAAATTGCAAATGGCTTGTCTCCATTTTGCTGCGTTAGTGGCAGCCAGGATGGAGAAACGCACAGCACAACTCCAAAATCGGAACATGGTTTGGCATTTGTGACTTGGCGTGTAAAGTTGGCTCAGGAGATACACAGTTACACAGACCCCAAATTTCGGTTTCTGTTAGTGGCTTTGGGTGTCTAGCGATTTGCAATTCATTGTTCTTTGAAGAATACCAGCCTGTGCAAAAGTAGAAATAACCCAGCTACCTTTGGAGCTGGTTCCAGCAAGGGCAGAGTGAAGCAGTGCCCACTGTTTTGAAGAATCACAATCAGCCAAACCCGGAGAAGAAATGATTTCACAAAACCTGGAGGATCTTTCCATCTTTCAGCCTTTGTCCTAAGTCAGATAACGTAGTATAGAAAATTACTCCTGTGTAGGCAGTAATGTAAATAATGACCGTCCTTGGATATTGAAACCCAGTAAGGATAAAAGTTGGCAGAGGAGGCGTTAACGCAGGCCAGGGTTGATGTCAGACCCTCCAATCTGATCCTTTAAGAAAGAACAACCCTCGACTCCATTGGATGAAGTGAAAGATTGTTCTGGTCCAAACAAGAGATCTGCTTTAATCCTGTTTTTCTCAGACAGATAAACTCCGAAGACGGACTAATATTCAGATTATTTATTCTTCAGGAATCTCTAAACAATCACTTACAGTCAAGAAGAGTTCTTCTGATGAACGTGTCATAATCTCTCCCATCTTGTGGTGTAAAATATTAAAGGTAGATTTCACCCCATATTCTTCTGGAGCATTGGAACCACGTGTGTCTGTCTTACACAAAGGCTTTTACATACACTGGGAGGTAGCCTGGACATCCTGTGATGAACTTTGAAGCTCCTCCCACTGACTAGATAAAGATATAGGGCCGACTAACAGCTGAACTACATTACCCAGAGGCCATCTCTTAAGGAGACAGTGTTAACCCTTTAAATGCTAAATGCTCTAACACAGTTCTTAATTCCTAAGCTGGCTATAATCTGGTCCAGCACAAAAATTATTTTACTAAAGGATGTTGGCTGCTGTAAAGTTAGTTGAGCTCTGGGTTTCCCGTGCTCTGAAGACACAGAAAGATTTCCCCTCTTCCCAGCCCTTCCCCTGTGACCAGTCCATCCTTAGCCTTAAAGTCCTAGTGGACAATCACTTAAATATGAGCCAGCCGTGTGCTGCAGCTGCCAAAAAGGCCAACACAGTGCTGGGCTGCATTAACAGAGGGATAGAATCAAGATCCCGTGAAGTCTTAATACCACTGTCAGATGTTCCGACTAATGAAGCACTTCAAAGAACTTTCAGGCATGTTTCCTAAAGTCTTTATTACAGAGCTACAAATTGCCGGTCACCATCATGGACGTTGTGATGCCAGAATCTGACTTCCTCTCGCTGGCATCAATCTTTTCTTGCTAAACCCCTCCCTTATCTTGCAGTCACAAGTCACATTATCCAATTAGTGTGAAGGTCAAAAGTTTACTTCCTCTTTCTTTCCCGGACTTTTTCCCCCCCACTCTAAGCTATGTATTAACCCAGTAAATACCAGACAGTTTTGCATATTGTCAAAGCAAGAATATACAGTATTTGCAACATTGACAACCACTTTACAAGGCCTTGGTAAGGCCACACTTGGAATCCTGCATCCAGTTTTGGTCACCACGATATAAAAAAGATGTTGAGACTCTAGAAAGAGTACAGAGAAGAGCAACAAAGATGATCAAGGGACTGGAGGCTAAAACATATAAGGAACGGCTGCTGGAATTGGGCGCGTCTAGTTTAATGAAGAGAAGGACGAGGGGGGACATGATAGCAGTGTTCTAATATCTCAGGGGCTGCCCCAAAGAAGAGGGAGTCAAGCTATTCTCCAAAACGCCTGAAGGCAGGACAAGAAGCAACCGGTGGAAACTCATCAAGGAGAGAAGCAACCTAGAACTAAGGAGAAACTTCCTGACAGTTAGAACAATTAATCAGTGGAACAACCTGCCTCCAGAAGCGGTGAATGCTGGAAGTTTTCAAGAAAAGACTAGACAGCCATTTGTCTGAAATGGTATAGGGTTTCCTGCCTGAGCAGGGGGTTGGACTAGATGACCTCCAAGGTCCCTTCCAACTTTAATAATAATAATAATAATACCTGTGTTTTGAGAACGCTGAGATGTTTTGGGGTAATCCACGTTCCTTCTCAGGGTGCCTGGCCTTGGATACTGGTGCTTCTCTGGTTTTTATCACCTGTCATTCCCCCCTCCCTTTTCCCCATCAGGTACACCCACAGCTTCATTGCCCCTCTATCTTCCTCTCCTTCTAGCCTTCAATGGTAGGTGCCCGTGAGGCGCCAAGCTGAGCCTGGCGGACCCGACAATAACCGTTTTGAGAACATCTGCCCATCCTTTTTCACCCGAACGTCCTTCCTTCTCTCGCAGGACATCAACGCCCATGCCTGTGTGACGGGGAAACCCATCAGCCAGGGCGGCATCCATGGCCGCATCTCTGCCACGGGCCGTGGCGTCTTTCACGGGATCGAGAACTTCATCAATGAAGCATCGTACATGAGCCTCTTGGGGATGACTCCAGGATTTGGAGACAAGACGTTTGCTATCCAGGTAGTGGATTTGCGAGAGTCACACGGGGGGAAGAAAGGGAGCAATGATGCCTTAAGGCACGGATAGCCTTGAGATAAGACAGTGATATCCTTAATTCTTCAGGCAGGGAAGCTCAGCTATTGATATACGTGAGCCACACAAGCTTTAAATCAGGAACATACAGTAGTGGCCAAAATTGTGGAATCCTTTTGGGAGAAGTATATTTTTGAGGTTTGATGGCTAACAACACCACTTTTTTTTTTGGAGTACCACAAAATTATATATCAGTGGGAAGATAATTTAATCAAGAATGTAGCGTAACAAAGTTTGTTCAATTACCTGTATTGTATTCTATGAAAAGTTGTAGCCAAATAACCAGAAAAAGGAAGCACAACTTGCTTAGGTTAATCTCAGGGAGCTTTCCTTCATCTGATTGTAGCCAATGAGCAGGAGTGTTTAGAGAGCCAGTCGGCTGTCATCTTGTTTTGGCCATGAGCCAGTCAGATCACAGTAGGATTCAGTTATCAATGTCCTGTCTTGAAGCTGAGAGGAGGACATTTGTCAGTGTGTTATGCGATGGCTATCCAGTTGGTTGGGTTTTTTTGTGTTCTTTCATTTCGTGAGCTTGTATAATGTAATAAAATTAAAGATTTTATATCGCTTTGTGGGTGACCGGTCAACTCTTTGCACCATAATTTTAATTTTATTACGTTTTACAAGCTCACTCAATGAAAGAACACAAAAAAACCCACCTAACTGGATAGCGATCACATAACACACTGACCAATGTCCTCCTCTCAGCTTCAATACAGGACATCAATAACTGAATCCTACTGTGATCTGATTGGCTCATGGCCAAAACAAGATGACACCTGATTGGCTCTCTAAACACTCATGCTCATTGGCTACAATCAGATGAAGGAAAGCTCCCTGAGATCAACCTAAGCAAGTTGTGCTTCCTTTTTCTGGTTATTTGGCTATACATTTTCATAGAATACAGTACAGATAATTGAACAAACTATGTTGCATTACATTCTTGATTAAATTATCTTCCCATTGATATATAATTTTATGGTACTACTCGAAGAAAAAAAAGTGGTGTTATTAGCCATCAAACCTCAAAAATACACTTTTCCCAAAAGGTTTCCACAATTTTGGCCACGGCTGTACTTTGTGAAGCTGCCTCTAGAAAAATAGAGGTTTGCGCAAGGCTAAGTAAAAACTTATTTTCACTATTTTTTTAAACAGGGATTTGGCAACGTTGGTCTGCATTCTATGAGATACCTTCATCGCTATGGAGCAAAATGTGTAGCTATTGGAGAAAAGGATGGCGCGATCTGGAATCCCGATGGACTTGACCCGAAGGAGTTGGAAGATTATAAGCTGGTAGGCCAAATGGTTTAACCGTTGTGAATTGTCCTGTTTCGTTGGCTGTGAAGCTTAGTGGTCCCTCTATTAGTTGCATTAGAAGCCTTTATGGTGTATAAAGCAAACGGGCTTCAGATTGGAAAGACCTTATTAGATTTGCTTGAGTGAGGCAGTCAAGCTTTAGTTCTTCAGAGGAAAATAACAAAAGAGGGTGAGACTCCCAAGTAGGGTGTTGAGGAGCACACACACACACAAAAATGACCGAGGTAAACAAAATAGAAAACCATCTTCTGAAAATAACGGGACTGCCTAAAGCCTTGGATAGAACGCCTTATATATATTATCATAGCCTCCTCTTGGACAAATGTTTTTGTGGGGGGGGGGTTGAAATATAGAACCTTAGTCCATGAGTAATGTTTGAGTATGTGTAGCCTAATGAAGAGAAGGACTAGGGGTGACACGATAGCAGTCTTCCAGTATTTGAGGAGCTGACACAAAGAAGAGGGAGTCAAGCTATTCTCCAAAGCGCCTGAAGGCAGGACAAGAAGCAACGGATGGAAACTCATCAAGGAGAGAAGCAACCTAGAACTAAGGAGAAACTTCCTGACTGTTAGAACAACCAACTAGTGGAACAACCTGTCTCCAGAAGATGTGGGTGCTCCAGCACAGAAGGCTTTTAAGAAGAGACTGGATAGCCATTTGCCTGAAATGGTACTATAGGGTCTTCTGCTTGAGCAGAAGGTTGGATTAGAACAGGGGTCTTCAATCTTTCTGGGTTGGCGGCTCTGGTAGGAAAGGGAGGGGCAGGCACGTTTATGCGCGCATGCACACACACGCAACGGCTGCACGTGTGCATGCGAATGAGGCCGTGAGCACGTGTGCTTCACAAATGGGGCTGCTAGCGCCAGCACGAGGCTCGCAGTGAGGCTAAGGTGCAAGGGGGGAGCACATGCACACACGCGTGTGCCCTGGCCAGCACTCACGCGGCCCAGAGGCTGTGGCCCGGTAGTGGGCCACAGCCCATAGTTTGGGGACCTCTGGATTAGAAGACGTCAAATTCCTTTCCAGTTCTGTTATTCTGTTCTGTGAAGACGTTAAAGCAATGGTGGCGAACCTGTGGCACGCGTGCCAGAGGTGGCACTCAGAGCCCTCTCTGTGGGCACGCGTGCCATGCCCCGGAGAGGGCAACTGTTCCTCTTCAACCAGCCGCCTGCAAACTCGCTGAGGTCCCACCTGGCCGGATGCATCCCAGCACATCTGGTTTCCCTCCCCCCCATCCCATCCCTCCTGGCCTCGCATGCTCTCCTTTTCCCGGGCACGACCCACTGCATCACCTCCTCAGCTGTCGGTTGTCCATCCAGCTCAGACGCAGCTTCTCTGAACTTCTGGCGGCGGGCTGCGGAGCCCCAGAGTGTGCCGGTTGAGGGGCCAGCAGGCTGTGGCTGCTGATGGACACTGTTGGCCCCTGTGCACTCGCTGGCCTTTGTGTGCGGGGGCCGATGGTGTCAGGCAGCAGTCAGCCCTGCCTCACCTCATCCTGCAGGACAAGCCTCCTGCTTATCACTGCCCCTGCCAAAGACCCCCTGGATCTCCCCCAACCCTGCTCACCTCCCATAGGCATCCCTCCCCACGAGCAACATCGAGGTGACTATGCCCAGCTTGGCCACACCCACCCAATCTGCCATGACCACAGCCATGCCCATCCAGTAGGCCATGCCCACCTGGCACCCAGCGATACATAAGTGGGTTTTGGGTTGCAGTTTGGCCACTCGGTCTCTAAAAGGTTCGCCACCACTGCGCTCAAGCGTCGTAATCTCCATCGTGTGTCTCAACAGCAACACGGATCCATTCTCACCTATCCAAAAGCCCAGACTCTCGACTGCCATATTCTTGAAACCGATTGTGACATCCTCATCCCAGCGGCCAGCGAGAAGCAGTTGACAAAAGCCAACGCTCAGAAAGTCAGAGCAAAAGTAAGATGGGCGGGCAGGTGCGGGCTTCAGGCCGGCAGCTCCAGCCGAGACTGTTCTCTGCCAGATCCTCTGGCTGCCTCAGTGAAAGATTTCCTGGGCTTAATGGTGACACTCTTGTTCTTTCCAGATCATTGCTGAAGGCGCGAATGGACCCACGACCCCTGAAGCGGATAAGATATTCTTGGAACGGAATATCATGGTTATTCCGGTAAGGTTCTTTTTGATAGTTGTTACCTGGGGTGAAAAACAGTGTTAAGGTGATTGATGGAGATAACTTCTGATTTTTGTTTAAAAAAAAACAACTATTCTGGAGGGTTTTTCTTAAATAAACAGAATGGATTTTAATCTGTTTTTAGGACTGTATCTTTTAGTAGCAAATTAAGGCTGTCTGCCTTTGGCTGTGTTGGATACAAAAAAAAATCAACGTAGAAGATTAAAAACTGCTTTTGCTTCATCCTCAGTCATACCCTAACATAGGGTTCTCCCACCGTAGCAACTTTTTATGATTTGTGAACTTTAGCTCCCGGAATTCCTCAGCCACCCATTCAGTTCTGGGAGTTGAAGTCCACAAGTCGTACAGTTGCCAAGGTTGGAGACCCCTACGGGCCTAGCAAGTCTTTGATCTTGGTCTATAACAGGGGGTAGGCAACCTTGGCTCTTTTATGACTGGTGGACTTCAACTCCCAGAATTCCTGAGCCAGCCACGCTGAGGGGAAAGGGAGAGGTTTCCAAGCTGAGCCGTGCTGGCTCAGGAATTCTGGGAGTTGAAGTCCACGAGTCCTAAAAGAGACAAGGTTGCCTATCCCTGGCCTAGGCCTAGGCCGCTTTATGACTCGTGGACTTCAACTCCCAGAATCCCTGAGCCAGCATGGGGGAACTATGGCCCCCCTCATGATTTGTGGACTTCAACTCCCAGAATTCCTACCCCTGGTCTATAAGGAAGGAAGTTCTGTGGAATCCATCCCACTCTTCCTCCTTGCCATGGCATAGTTGGAAGCAGGAATGAATCTCCCTCAGCCATCGTCAGCCCCCATAAGGCTGTTCTCAGCAGAGGCAGGACCTTTGGATCTTCATGATCTCTTTGATTAGCTCCCCCAAAATTCTTCAGCTAGTTTGGTAGTGGATGGGACTGAACCTTTATCTTGATTTCTGACAATTCCATCCCACGTTTCCGAGAAGCTTTTGGGGTTAGTTGGCTTAACCTAACGGATGGGAAGCTCTTCCAACTTGAGGAGACTTCAAGCTATTAATCCAGTGGTTCTCAACCTGTGGGTCGGGACTCCATTTGGGGTCGAACGACCATTTCACGGGGGTCGCCAAACAACGCAGTCCGCCATTTTTTCCCCCCTTTTCCTTAGCTGTGCTACTCCCTTTTATTCTATTGGCTTTTGAAAGCCAATAGAATAGACTCTCTTGAATAGAATCTAATTCTATTGGCTTTCAAAAACCAATAGGAATTGTCCAGGCTGTCTCTGCCCTGCTGAGCCCGCCAAAAAGTCCCATTCTGCAAACGGTGCTGCACCAGTTGAGTGGTCCTCGACTTACGACCGGTTGAGTAGTCCTCGACTTACGACCGGTTGGGGGGTCACAGCATTAAAAAGGTTGAGAACCACTGTATTAATCGAAGTGAAGGAAACTCTTTCTGAGTCTCCTTGTTGGGGACTGTGTCCTGAATGCTGGCTCAAAGCCAGGGATGAATACAACCAATTGGGTGGGAGTAAAAATGGATTCCTCGAAACCGTTAAACTGGTTCTCGGGCTGCTGAACAGGACGCGAAGGCAGTTACTTCTTCCTTTCTGCTACTCTTTGCAGAGTGATGCCTTCTTACCTTTCTTCAGTGCCTTGAATTTTATTTACTTACTCCTTTATCTAATACGTGCAGCCCTCCCATCTCACAAAAAGAGACAGAACAGGCATACAACAAAAGTTATTGGAAAGGATTCGGTTATTGATGTCCTGTATTGAAGCTGAGAGGAGGACATTGGTCAGTGTGTTATGTAATCGCTGTCATAGTGGTTGGGTTTTTTTGGTGTTCTTTCATTTAGTGAGCTTGTAATAAAATTAAAGTCATGGTGCAAAGAGTTGACCGGTTGCCCAGAAAGCGATGTAAAACAGTATTATGAAGTGAACTTAACCAAAGGTGGCCTTTCTACTGTACACTTTTCCCACAATTTTGGCCATGCTGTAGATCATTCCTAACCTGAACTGGTCTACTTATTTTTCATCTCCTCACTTCTTCTTTCTGCAGGACCTTTATTTAAACGCTGGTGGTGTGACTGTATCTTACTTTGAGTGGTTGAAGAACTTGAACCACGTCAGCTACGGCCGCTTGACCTTCAAGTACGAAAGGGACTCAAACTACCATCTACTAAGTACGTGGAATGGGTTCTGCCCTTCATATACCAGCCTTGGTCCACGTGGTGGGCATGTCTGAGCTGTTTGATCGCTTTCGGAGGCGCACCAGGCCTGGTGGCTTTAACTGGTTTTGGCTGGAAATTATAGCAGTGGATTTTTTTTTTGGCATTGCGTTGCTGAATGTTTTGGGGCAGATCAATGGCATACAAGGAAATTCCCGCCTTTGAGAGGAAGCAGATCTACCTTGGCAGCGCATTAAAGAAGGAAATTTATTCTGCTGAGGAGAATATTTTGTCTTTTGATCACCCTTGGCCAGGAGTTTTAACCGGCTGTTTCCTTTCTTTCAGTGTCAGTTCAGGAAAGCTTGGAAAGGAAGTTTGGGAAACACGGGGGAAGTATTCCGGTTGTGCCCACTGCGGAATTCCAGGATAGAATATCTGTAAGTGGCTTTTGCAAAAATTTAACTTCATTTAATAGGTAGGTCTAAGGCAGTGGTTCTCAACCTGTGGGTCGGGATCCCATTTGGGGTCGAACGACCATTTCACGGGGGTCGCCAAACAACGCAGTCCGCCATTTTATTCCCCCTTTTCCTTAGCTGTGCTACTCCCTTTTATTCTATTGGCTTTTGAAAGCCAATAGAATAGACTCTCTTGAATAGAGTCTAATTCTATTGGCTTTCAAAAGCCAATAGGAATTGTCCAGGCTGTCTCTGCCCTGCTGAGCCCGTCAAAAGTCCCATTCTGCAAATGGTGCTGCACCAATTGAGTGGTCCTCCACTTATGACCGGTTAAGTAGTATTCGACTTACGACCGGTTGGGGGTCATGGCATTAAAAAGGTTGAGAACCACTGGTCTAAGGACTCTAAGCAAACTCTGCAGTCATGCAACAACAAACCTGCAAAGAAATCTGAAGAAATAAACTAAAATGCCGCACTTCGACTCCGTTGAAGGCTGACGCTTTGGCTCAGCTCGTATTAATAATGCCAAGACTAAATGGACTGATAAAAGTTTCAAACACAGGTTGTCCTCGAATTATGACCACGATTGGGTCCAAGATTTCTGTGGGTCAGCAAGACTAGATGTTAAGTGAATTTTGCCTCATTTGACCACCTCTCCTGCCACGGTTATTAAGTAAATCACTGCAGTTGTTTAGGGAGTAAAACGTTTGTTAAGTGAATTTGGCTCCTCCGTTGAATTTGCTTGTTGAAGAGTCACCAAAGGGAATCCCAGGACACTATAACGGTCATAAATATGAGCCAGTTGCCAGGTGTCTGAATTTTGATCATGTGACCATGGGGGGGGGGGTTGCAGCGCTTCAATAAGTGTGAAAAACAGCCGTAAGCCACTTTTGCAGTGCTGTTGTAACTTTGAACAGTCACTAAACGAATGGTCGTTAAGTCGAGGACTACCCGTGTTACAGTTCTGATCAAAAAGCAGAACTGATGGTCCCAAGTGAAGTCTAAACTTGATATCGTTAGAATATTGTGCATTAATTCCTGTACGCAATACCGTGTTTCCCGGAAAGTAAGACCTACCCTGAAAAGATTTTTGGCGGTGGGCCTAATATAAGCTGTACCCCAAAAATAAGCCTTAGTTTGGGGGCAAAGCACATGTCTAAACATCAAGCTAGGACTGGGATTGGGGGGTGGAGTTGCCCCATACGCCCTACACCCACTTACCGTTGCAGCCTGGCCTCTCCTCACTGGCTCACTTCTTCTGTGGCATCCCCAGGCCTGCATTTTTTCAGTCATGGGCCTTTCCGGAGGGCCACTGCAGCCGAGAACCGAGCGATGGATTGAAGGCTTGCATAGGCCTTCCAGAAAGGCCTGACTGCAAAATTGCAGGCCCGCATGCAGCTGCAGAATGAAGCTGCTCCTTTGTCCGCAGATGAAGTGGGCCAGCTGGGTGGGGCTGTCCCTGTCGGAGGTGAGTGGAAAAGACACCGCTCGAAAATAAGACCTGGTGTCTCTTTTGGAGGCCAAAAACCAAGTGTCCTGGTTTCGACAGATGAAACTCTTCAAAAGAACTTTGAGGCATTATTTACCTTAAAGAATCTTTTATTTGAGTAGCATAATATCGGCACTTCATAATCGAAGCCAAAAACTGGATTCCCCTCCCCTGGGCACAATAGTATCAAAGCACAATTCCCTCTTCCAGTTGACAGTCATAAATCACATTCCTCAATTAGCTTGAAATGCAGGCTTTCCCTCCAGTTCTCCAGCCCAGCCAATTCTTATCATCTCTTATTTCATCAACCTTGATTCACACACTAGGTCCAGTATTGCTATGTCTATCTAAACTCTCATGCACAATCCTTCCCCCCCCCCCAGCATCATCTATCTCTAAAAGTAAAACATAAGAAAATGGTTGCATCTCCTAACTGTTGTCAAAGCCAAAACGTCCGATGTTAGCAGCGTTGACACGAAAAAACAAAACCGGATCTTATTTTCGGGGAAACACAGCATATACGTTGCATATGATTTTTTTATATATATAGTTTGGCGGGTATATAAACCTACCAACCCTGTTTTTGACCCAATGTTCAAGTAAACTTTCAATTCACCAATTTCCATTAAAAGGCTGTGCCTAGAAATGACATTAAAAGGGGAATTTGACCCCATCAAGCCAAGCCAGCCTCTTGCTGGTGACTTTAGACTGGGCTTTTGACGGCCGTTCTTTTCCCCACAGGGCGCCTCGGAGAAAGACATCGTGCATTCAGGCTTGGCCTACACCATGGAGCGATCCGCACGGGTAGGTATCGAACATTAAATGCCACGGATGGTCATCAGAGCCCCCATTGGTATATTTCTATCCTGAACTGTCCCTTATTTTCAGTTTCACAACTAGCTGAGTTTTGAATTCCCCCATTTTTTTTTAAATAAAAAAATGGATAGATCTTTGAACAAAAGCATAACGGGTAACCCTCTAAATCGGGGGTTCCCAATCCCCGGTCTGTGGACCGGTACCGGGCCGTGGCACACCAGCAACCAGTCCACACAAACAAGCGAAGCCCCGCCTACTTTAGAAGAAGGGATATTTAAAGTTTTTAATTTCGCAGAAATGGCAAAAATTTCTGCTTATTTAAAGGATCGTACACAAGAAAGATATATTATTGTATGGAGAAGATGGATAGATTATATTCAGAAAAAGTATGGGACTACAAAGTATCATTTATTTTATGAATAATGGATTTGTTTATAAAATTATGACGTTAAAGTAAATTTTATAGCAAATGTTGTAGAAGAGATTTGTTTATGATGATGTAATTTAAGGGGAGTTGAGGGCTAAGTATGATTTTTTTTCTTTTCTTTTTTTTCTTTTTCTTATTAATTTTGTTACTAATAACCCTGTATTCTGCTCTAGGAGGGGAGGGTTGAGGGTGGGTGAGTGGGTGAGTGGGTGGGTAAGGATAATATATATATGGTTGTTTATGAGAGAGGTGGTGCTTGGGCGTTTCCCCTATGCTGCGTTCATCTGCTTGAGAGGGATGAGAGGGGAGGAAGGAGTAGGGAGGAAGTAGGATGGTGAGGAGAAGGGGAGGGGAAGAGAGTAGGAGGGGAGGAGAGAAAGAGGAGAGAAGTAGGGAAGGTATTAGAGAGAGTGGACGCAGCCTGGGGGGAATGGGCAAGAGGTACCAATGGTTATGAATTTATTTTATCTTGTAAATTGTATTCTGTATGTTGAATAAATGGAAAAATAAAAACTTAACAAAAAAAAAAACAAGCAAAGCCCCATCTGCAGGATGGAGGCAGCACACCAAACCACACCACCCTCCAGTCCGTGGAAAATCCTCTCTCCACGGACCCGGTTCCTGGTTCCCCAATAGGTTGGGGAACCTCTGCTCTAAATATTCCTCAGTAAGAGCTTCAACTCTCTGAACCTGGTTTGTTTTAGCTGAAGCTAATAGCAGTTGGAATCCAGTAGTATTCCCAGGCGCATCGTTTCTCCAGGTTTGCTTCACAGGTTTGCAGGTCACCACAGAAATAAACACGCAGGCAAAACATTCATGAGTATTCAGTGGTTTCCCCCGAGGATTTTGAAAAGGGTAGCAAAGGTCCTAACTCTGCCATATTTTTTTTTTATTGAAAGTTTTACAATTTTAATACAATATAAACCCCTCCCACCCCCTCCCACCCTCCCCCACTTCCCAGTGCGGATTACAGGGTAACAAACAAACATAATCTAACTAACATTAATCAACTATACTATCAATCAAAACCATAACCCCTTGAACTCCTTTTCAAACCAAGTATTAACGAATTAAAAACAAAAATAATAATATAATTAAAACTGTTAATAATAATCTAAAACCTACTCATATGCAAGATAATACTTTTCAGCGTCATATTTCTTTTGAATATAATCAATCCATCTTCTCCGAACCATAATGTATCTTTCTTGTGAATGGTCCTTCAAATAGGCGGAGATTTTCGCCATTTCTGCTAAATTAGACACCTTAAGTATCCATTCTCCCATAGTAGGCAAAGAGTTTTTCTTCCAATATTGCCCAACCAGTAATCTTGCAGCTGTTATAACTCTGCCATTTTTAATGTCCCACAGCAAATCATGCGTACCGCCATGAAGTACAATCTCGGTCTGGACCTGAGAACAGCTGCCTACGTCAACGCGATCGAGAAGGTCTTCAAAGTGTACAACGAAGCCGGTCTGACCTTCACATAAACGGCTCCTCGGTCTCAGCCTGACACACCCGTGTTCTGAGTCCCGTTGGGAAAAAAAAAAAAAAGCTTACGAGAAGTTTACACAGAAATCCCTTTCTCATTTAGCTTCCGTTCAAGCTAGTCTTTTTTTTATATATAATACTGGGGGGTGGGGTGGGGAATCCATGGATTTAGGATCCCGCGTCGAGAGACGACTAAAGATAACCAGCTCATCTGCACCGCCTAGAGTTTTGTAGGTTTCCTCTTGCGAGGCTACACCTGTTCCCTTTTCTTGTACGGAAGCGTGGCCTTGCCCCACTAAGCAACTTAGCATCGCTTCCGACCACGTATAACGCTGAAGCAAATATTAACTGTTCAAGCACTTTGGCTTCAGGCAATGCTACACCTGTAGTTTTAGGCACTTTTGAGTTAAAGCTCTTTGGATCGGTTCTGAAGACTGAATGGGTGACCTTCAGGAAATAACTTAGATTTTTCCATTTTTACAGTTACAGGAGCCAGAAGCCTTGTTCTCTTTCAGTAAAGATTGTATTTCTTTTTCATTTTTTTTTTTTTTAATCTTTGCTCCTGCTACAGGCCTGCCTCTAAATCATGTACTTAGCCTCACCTTGATTTAAGCACTGACCGGTTGTACGCAAAAGACAGGAGTTCCAGGAATTGATTCTTTTTATAAGCTGAACGAGCATCATTGATGTACAGATACCCAGGGGAGGAGAATGGCTTATTGTTTAATCTTGTCACTACATATCCACTTAGCTTATGTATTATTATTACTTTTTTTTTTAAAAAAAAAAAAGGATAACACGTACTTGAGCATAACCTTGGGACAGTCTGAAGAATTTTTGTAAAGTTTTTATTCTTGTATTTTAGTTTATGAAGTGCTTTTAGCATTAGCATTGGCCCGTTGAACAATTAAACGTAGAAACTATTGGCACCAAGAGGATTGGCAGGCACACTGACGTAGTTTTTGCTCCATTCATCTGGAAATGCTGATGTTGGGAAAAATTGGTTAGAGGCGGGCCTTGAATCAGGATTGGATTGTTCCCGTAGCTGCCTTGAAGGTCTCGACATGGTCTTGTGTCCAGATGAATTCTATAAAGTGCCAGATTTATTTGTCTAATCAGTTAGGATGTTTTTAAAAAACACCCCAGCCTCTCCTGGAAATTTGTGCTTTTTTTCCCCCTAGCTCCTTTATAATTCATGACATAACATGGCAACGAAAGCAATTATTAAAAGTTGACATTTTGAAACATACTCTGGTTTGTGTGTTTACTACCCTGCGTAAATGGAGACGGGCTGGGATCTGACTGTAAAGGCTCCAGTTCCCACACCATTCCTGTTGACTTGGGCCCAGAATTTTTCAGTCATTCCTGGAAATTACATACATATAAGCATGTTAAATTTAAATTTGTGGACAAAGAGTTAAAGGGAGACTAGTATAGCTATTTCGATCTACTTAGCTCTCATCAGCTAGCCATACCCTTCTGAGATTTGAACCCGGGGCCACTTGCATGTTGGGCAGATGTATTAACCTCTAGGAATCTCAGAAGGGTATGGCTAGCTGATGAGAGCTAAGTACATCAAAATAGCTATACTAGTCCCCCTTTAACTCCTGGTCAACAAATCTGTTGACAATTTATTCTGTTCTATTCTACTCCACTCCATTTTATTCTTTATTCTTCTATTGTATTGCATTGTATTCTATTCTGCAATTTGCGTTCCGTTCTATTCCACTCCATTTTATTCTTTATTCTTCTATTGTATTGCATTGTATTCTATTCTGCAATTTGCGTTCTGTTCTATTCCACTCCACTCCATTTTATTCTTTATTCTTCTATTGTATTGCATTGTATTCTATTCTGCAATTTGCGTTCTGTTCTATTCCACTCCACTCCATTTTATTCTTTATTCTTCTATTGTATTGCATTGTATTCTATTCTGCAATTTGCGTTCTGTTCTATTCTATTCTATTGTATTCTAAATAATCACAGAAAACAATGATCAGAAACACACTGTCACCATTCACTTTGAAATTATTTAATGTTTGATACTGCAACAACATTTATGCAATATATAGTTTAACCTTCAGTGAAGGTATGTAAAGTACATCTAATAGGGTAGTTATGGGAAGATAAATTTCCAATGCATAAAGACATGGTTGGATCATTTCAAACATTCTGGGCAAACCAAAAGGAAGATCAGCCCATTTAGGTTGAAATGTTTTACTTCTTTTCTTTGTTCTTTTTTTCTTCGTCCTTTTTACCCGACGCTGTTGCCTGACTTGTTACATTTTGCACTGCTTTTTTGCCAGTATCTTCTAATGTTTTGCAGATGTCATCAATAACATAAAAGAAAAGAAAGAAATTGCAAGATGGTTAACTTAAGGGTTTCTGATATGCAAATTTGCCTCCCTGGGAATACAGCAAAATTGACATTTCTTGAAGTCTTGTCGTAAATTATCTGAAGTCTCTTCAGAGTGTACCATATTTTCCGGCATATAGGACGATTCGATGTATAAGGCAACCCCCGACTTCGGCGCCGAGTTGCATGCCTAGAAAGTCATCTTATATGCCGGAAACTACTGTAATTTCCAGCGTATAAGACGCCCCCCGACTTCGGCACCAATTTGAATGCTTTAGAAAATCGTCTTATACGCCACAAAATACGGTAGATGCCCAGATGCCTTTTCCTTTATATTATAATCTGAGCCAAATGATTTAATCTTAGACGCTTCTGATAATACTTAAGCTTCAAAGATCAACCTGATCCAATTCAGTTAACAAATCATGATACTTATCAAGAGATACCATCCCATTCAGCCCTTAGCAGAAAACTCCCTCACGACAGAATATGGCATTTCATATCTCTGATCTGTTCAAAATGAGTTTTTAAAAAGTCCTAAACAAGGCCATGGTTTTCCCAGTTGCAATGTATGGCTGTGAAAGTTGGACCATAAGAAAGGCTGAGCGCCAAAGAATTCAGGCCTTTGAACTCTGGTGCTGGAGAAGACTCCTGCGAATCCCCTGGACTGCATGGCGATCCAACCGGTCAGTCCTAGAGGAGATCAACCCCGACTGCTCTTTAGAAGGCCAGATCCTGAAGTTGAAACTCAAAATACTTTGGCCACCTAATGAGAAGGAAGGACTCGCTGGAGAAGAGCCTAATGCTGGGAAAAATGGAGGGCAATAGAAGAAGGGGACAGCAGAATGAGGTGGCTGGATGGAGTGACTGAAGCAGGAGGCGTGAGCTTCCATGGTCTCCAGAAGATGGTGGAGGATAGGAAGGCCTGGAGGAATGTTGTCCATGGGGTTGCGATGGGTCAGACACGACTTCGCAACTAACAACAAAATAATTAAACACTGACCAGACCAAACCAATTTGTCAATTGTTCAATTTCTCTACCTTTTCAAAATATACGACACCTATCATGGCTTAATTTTATGATCTATCATTTCTCAATTCTTTCAGCCTTGAACTCTTACTTCCTCCCTATTCATCATCAAGATCATCAATCTTCCATTGTCTCTGAGTGTTGAGGGTTTCTAGGATAATTTACAAACTTCAGGCTCCTTCTGGCCTGCCCCCAAGAGAAATAAAAATTAAGACCACTATTAATCAAGTAACCCTGCCATTATAACTTATCTGATTTTCTATTTCTCTTAACCAAGCCTGAATCTGCTTAGCTTTTTGAGATCAACCAAGATCAACTGATGACAGGAGGAGCATAGTATAAAAATCTGCATAGTAAAGTGCATTTGATTTTTTTTTTGAAAGATTTGATTCTGTACTTCAAGAACAGAATTTCTTGAAGATTTTTCTGTTCTTTGGTGTAGGCTATAATAATAATAATAAAGTTGGAAGGGACTTTGAAGGTCATCTAGTCCAAGCCCCTGCTCAGGCAGGAAACCCTATACCATTTCAGACAAATGGCCGTCCAGTCTCTTCTTAAAAACTTCCAATGTTGGAGCATTCACAGCTTCTGGGGGCAGGTTGTTCCACTGGTTAATTGTTTTAACTGTCGGGAAATTTCTCCTTAGTTCTAGGTTGCTTCTCTCCTTGATTAGTTTCCACCCGTTGCTTGTCCTGCCTTCAGGCGCTTTGGAGAATAGCTTGACTCCCTCTTCTTCGGGGCAGGCCTTGAGATACTGGAACACTGCTATCATGTCCCCCCTCGTCCTTCTCTTTATTAAACTAGACATACCCAATTCCAGCAACCGTTCCTTATATGTTTTAGTCTCCAGTCCCCTAATAGTCTTTGTTGCTCTTCTCTGTACTCTTTCTAGAGTCTCAACATCTTTTTTACATCGTGGTGACCAAAACTGGATGCAGTATTCCAAGTGTGGCCTTACCAAGACAAGTTTATTAAAGCCAGATCAAAGGTGACTTCTCTAGTTAGAAGTCTGTACAGAAGACAAACTGCTCCAAATTGGGGGGGGGGGAAACGTACCATTTTCTTTTATTACAAGAGTGAAGGTGCTGTTAATAAAACCTGTTTTCCTTACCTTTCTGACCAGCTTTTGTCACCTGATCCACAACAGCCTGTCCTTTTGTATTAACTGCAGTCAGAAATAATAGCACAAATTATTCTCATGGCAATCATACACCAGTTGCCTAAAACAATTAAAATTTACATTTTTAAAATAACAATAGTCAAACTGATATGTATAGTAACTCTATCTAGAAAGGTGTTCATTAGTGGGTCAACCCAAGCCTCTAGAGCAGGGGTTCTCAACCTTGGCAACTTTAAGACTTGTGTACTTCAATTCCCAGAATTCCTCAGCCAGCTTTGCTGGCTGAGGAATTCTGGGAGTTGAAGTCCAAAAGTCTTAAAGTTGCCAAGGTTGAGAACCCCTGCTCTAGAGGTTATTTCAGGCCAATTCAAGATTCTGGAGGAACCTGGCTTGGCAACAGCTTCTATGCGTTATATGGGGTCAACTTCTTGGGCTATTTTGTGGCCATCTCAAGACTGTGTAGGTCAAATAATCCTCCAGGGTTCATTAAGGGCTCACCCCAAGCCTCTAGAGCAGTGGTTCTCAACCTTTCTAATGCCGCGACCCCATAATACAGTTCCCCATGTTGTGGTGACCCCCAACCACTTATACATCACCGGGTGCCAGGGACGTGACCAAAGGAAAGGGGGAAAAAATGGCGGACAGCCTTGTTTGGCGATCCCCATGGAATGGTCGTTCGACCCCAAATGGGGTCCCGACCCACAGGTTGAGAACCACTGCTCTAGAGGTCATTTCCAGTCAATTCAGGCTTATGGAGGTATCCTGGTCTGAATAGTAGCTTCCAAAGATTTTTTGGGATTCAACTTCTTGCCTATTTTTTTGACCACCTCAAGCTTCTAGAGGTCATTTCAGGTCAACTCAAGCTTCTGGAGGCAAGTGGACTTTCTTGTTTTTTTTTTTTCATTATTTTTTTTTTAAAAAAGGGATCAGGAAAATAGATATAGCAAAGGACAACTGAAAAATCACAGATTCACACCCTCCCCACACACACCACATAGCTTAGCAGAAACTCTCCAAAAAAAGAGTTAGGTGAACAGATGCTACAGACTCAGAATGAACTCTTAAGCAGAAGAAAAATTAAAAAAAAAACCTATGAGAAAGCTGGGTTTTAAGAAATGGTGGATTCCTTGCGCCAGAGTCTATGTTTATGAGAGCTAATTCTGTTTTCAGTCCTAGCTGAACTCTGGGAAAGTTTCTGTCATGGTTCTGACAGATGAAACTCTTCAAACAACTTTGAGGCATTGTTTACCTTAAAGAATCTTTATTAGAGCATAGCATCGGCATTAACATAATCGAAGCCAAAAACTGGATTCCTCTCCCCTGAGCACATAGTATCAAAACACAATTCCCTCCTCCAATTGACAGTCATAAATCACATTCTCCAATTAGTTTGAAATGCAGGTTTTCCCTCCAGTTCTCCAACCCACCAATTCTTATCATCTCTTATTTCAATAACCTTGGTTCACACACTAGGTCCAGTATTGTTAGTCTAGCTAAACTCTCATGCACATTCTTCCCCCCAGCACATCTAACTCTAAGAGTAAAACATAAGAAGAACATGGTTGCATCTCCAACTGTTGTCAAAGCAAAAACATCCGATGTTAGCAGCGTTGACAGTTGCATTATTCAGTGAAAGTAAAAAAGAAAGAAATCTGAGACCACCTTTTAAGCTTATGTCTTACAGTAAGATTTATTCGTTTCAAAAGGTACTATTTCATTCTTTCTGATTTTTATCTTTCCGCTGAAAAATTTGCCCCTTTGGGAATTCTGCAAGTCCCCTTGATTTCTGGTCAGTTGGTAAAGGTACATAATTATTACCCTTTGGAGAAGTTTAAAATAACATCTTGTGACTTGACAGGACTTGAGTGGAAAGCTACAGAATGTCATGAGTGAGCGTGTGTCTTTCAACTTTCTGAACCACATCTTAAAAAAAAAAAAAGTCAGTAAAAGGCAATATGGTGCCTGAGGGTGACACAGTTCTGGGAGAATGAAGATCAAAATCAAATATTCTCCGTTTATTTCTAACAAACAAGAAATGATTTGTCAAAACGCATCTCCAGTTTCTGTTCCATCCATATGTTTGTGCTCTTGAGTTTTTACTTATGAAATCAACATGGCACACTCAGTACCTGAAATTGGGTACTCATATTACATAATAACTCACTCCATCCCACATCACCCCTCCCCCCCAAAAACAGGGGTTTTTTTTACCCCCCCCCTCTAAATTTTCACATAAAAGGCCAGTACTATAAAATAATTTCCTGCCAAGCCCCTATTTTTTCTACTCCTTTTCATTCTCTCCATCTCAAGATGCCACAAGGAGGAAGGAACTGAGGACATCAACGGTAAAGAAACAAAAGATCCCAAGGACAGGAAGGAAGGAAGGAAGGAAGGAAGGAAGGAAGGAAGGAAGAAAGAAAGGAAGGAAGGAAGGAAGGAAGGAAGGAAGGAAGGAAGGAAGGAAGGAAGGAAGGAAGGAAGGGAAGGGAGGGAGGGAGGGAGAGAGAGAGAATGAGAGAGGAAGGGAGGAAGGCTCCATGTTTTGAATCTAGCTACATGAAAAAAATCAGCAGGGAAAAAAAATATAACCTACCGTTTTTACCTATTTAAATTAAACTGTTTGGCAAACATGTCGCATTATCTGGCAATATCTGAGTCTCCCCAGAGATGCAGACAAGGAAAGGTTTCCCAGCTCTATTGCACATTCCTTTGATTGGACACACCAGGAACTTCTGGCGTGGGGTAAGCATCCCTTTCTCCAAGCAAATCTATTTTTTTGCAGCCTGGAAATAAACATTTTTTCTCTCCCATAACGCCAACTTGCACACTCCAATTTAGGGGCAGACACTGGCAAAAAGAAAAAAGCAGACTTCAAATCCTAATATCTTGACACATTGATTTATTTTTCTTGGCCACGCTACACAAGGCGGGCCACCATCTTCTTCTGGGAGGTCTTTGTCACATCTCAATCTGGCCTGCAACTCTCAACTCTTTGGGGGGCCTCCCATCCTGTACTACCCAGGTTGACCCATTCTCCGAGTCAGCCAAAGCCAGCTAGATGTGGACACCAACGCCATGTTGAGGTTAGGAATGGATTCTCCACCCAGAAAGGCTAGATATGAACCAGGGCATTGAAAAGATTTCAAAATGAGAAGAGGAGAACCAGAGGCTATTTACCTGGATCATCAAAAGGAATAAATTTAAACATGTTTTCTGCCTCTCGGGCGATGTCTTGCTGTCTGCTCAGCAGTAGATTCTCAGTTCCCAAATGGAGCCCGGTCCTGTTGCTCAGCTTTCAAATCTGTTGGGGTTGATATAACAGAGAACTCCTCCCAGAGGGCACGCGGAAAAGATCTCGCCAAACACTGTTTGGCAACTAGTGTCCAGCTTCAAAAGCAAAGCAAGAATGTTTGAAATAACAGTCTTTCCGTCTGGAAGAAGAGGGTGTGGTTAGGCTTTAAAAGCATGAGAGACAAGGGAAAAAAACCAAATGTAGTTTTCCACAGCTGCAAAACGAAAATGGTTCTTATCTGGGGCGTTGGCTCTTCAAAAACATTTCCGTTAGGAAGTTTATGACTTGGGGACTCTACGGCCACAATTAAAAAAAAAAATGCAATGGAGGGACCGTATGAGGTTAGGAAAGAGCCTCACAGCTGCCAAGAACTGGGGTTTGCTCAGCTGGGCAAAGATTCAGCTCTAAATCAAATTTGCAGTCTTGTGATTCCATAAAACATTACCCAGTCGGTGGGAATGTTTTCTCCTTTGCTAATAGGGCTAGAAGAGGGAGACAAATGGAAGGACCACAGATCAAACCTTTGACCAAAATCTGAAAGACCTACTTTGAATCTGGTAGGTTGTGAATTACACAGCTTTAAACCTCACGTTTTTAGGGAACACTGTGGATTGGTTACCAACTGGTTACCAATGTTCTTTTTGGCAAGTCTCAACAAGAGGAAGGGATTTGGAAGCACAGATTTTCACATATGACTCTAGAACAGGGCTTTTCAACTTTTTCACCTACTGTACCACTTTTAGGATATGGCAATATCCGAGTACCACCAGTCGCCTAGCAAGGGGCCAAAAATTTGATGACCAAAAAAAGAGAGAAAAAAGTGATGAAGTACAGGCAGTCCTCAGCTTACAACAGTTCACTTAGTGACTGTTCAAAGTTACAATGGCACTGAAAAAAGTGCCCCCCATGCCACAGCCGAGCAAGACACCTGCCTGCCCATCCAGCAGCGCTTTTCCTCCTGTCCGAGGTTTCCAATGTTGTGAGCATTTCTGTTGAGGATTGGCAGTGGGGGTGGGGTGGGGGGGTGTTTGGTTTTTATTTCCCCTGTCTGCTGGGCGGTTGCAGCAGGTTTTGGTCACTTCACATGACCCTGGGACACTGTGACCGTCATAAATATGAATCAGTTGCCAAGCATCTGAATGTAAATCACAAGACCCTGGAGAGGCTGCAACATTCCAGCTGATCGGCGCTTCTTCTGGGCTCAGCAGAAGCACCAGGATCAGCACCGAGCTCCAGCTGGAGCCTGGCGCTGATCCTGGCGCTTCCGCTGAGCCCTGACAGCCCTGCAGCTCCAGCCGTCTCTCGCTCTGGCTTGTGCGGTGCTGCCACCGGTTCAGCTCATTCCCCTCCCCTGCTACCAGTTTTCTAGCATGGTCGCGTACCACCTGCCAGGTGCCAATGTACCACAGGTGGTACCCGTACCACTGGTTGAAAAGCCCTGCTCTAGAATCACCAGTTTTGCTACTGCAGATTTGGAAACCAAGTTAGTCTTGTCTTGCAGACTCTGCCCTTTATATGCTTTCTGATACTGTTGATGAGAAGATGCAAAAGTTGGAAGCAGTGAGCAAATAAATGAAGGAGGGATCTGGTTCAGGGAAGTTTATAATTTAGATATTATTGCTGGGTTTTAACTATGAGGCGGTAACCTGGGATGGCTTCCATGGGGTTGTTTCTGGGTCTTCTTGATGGGATCGTTGTCTGATGGGTCCAATGTTGCGCGAGAAGCTTTGATTGAAAACACAAACCGATTGAAAAAATAAAATAAAAACCAAAATAAAACCATTCCCAATCTGCGAGTCGCCTGGACTGCAAGGCGATCAAATCGGTCAGTCCTGGAGGAGATCAACCCCGACTGCTCTTTAGAAGGCCAGATCCTGAAGTTGAAACTCAAGTGCTTTGGCCACCTAATGAGAAGAAAGGACTCACTGGAGAAGAGCCTAATGCTGGGAAAGATGGAGGGCAAGAGAAGAAGGGGACGACAGAGAAGGAGGGGGCTGGATGGAGTCACTGAAGCAGTAGGTGTGAGCTTCAATGGACTCCAGAAGATGGTAGAGGACAGGAAGGCCTGGAGGAACGTTGTCCATGGGGTCACGATGGGTCGGACACAACTTCGCAACTAACAACAACAACCTGGGCAAATTGTGCAAACCAGTTCCCCAAATTCCATAACCGGCCCAGCCATTGCTGAGAATTGTGGTATTTGAAGTCCACATCTCTAAAAGTTGAGCAGGTAGGAGAACCATCAACGAGAAAATAAGATTGCTAGAAGGTTTGGGATGGTTTCCTCCAGTTTTCACTTTGTTACAAAATGTGCCTCTCTTTCACAAAAACTGTGTTTTTGTCCACAGCGTGCAAAGGCTCTGGGTGCATCTAGAAATATATATAGATATAAAACCGCTCTCCCCTCTGCAAATTGCTGTCTTACCTCTTGTTTACGGGGCTGATGTCATGAAATTGGCAGCTTGGATCCTGCTGCTTCTGTCATCTGAAAATTTACCGTAAATAACCATGTACCCGTAAAGGAGAATATTTCTAACTCTGGGTTGAAGTGAAGAGTCCTTGGTGCTTTCTGAGCTTGGTTGTTTTCTTGCAGATGTTTCATTACCCAAACTAGGACTTGCACTGATGATGTTACCTTGTTTGGGTAACGAAACATCTGCAAGAAAACAACCAAGCTCAGAGAGCACCAAGGACCCCTCAAATAACTGCGTTGCCTGTCTTCCTACTTAACAAAAGCAGCCCGGTCTGCAGTCAGCATCTCCCAACGTGCATTTCAAAACAAAAACGAAGAAATAGGCCAACCAGGAAGTGGGTGTGTGAGCTGTATTGGTGCAGTGGTTAGAATGCAGTATTGTAGGCTGATTCTGTCCACTGACAGGAGTTTGATCTTGACTGGATCAAGGTGGACTCAGCTTTCCATCCTTCTGAGGTCAGTAAAATGAGGACCCAGATTGTTGGGGCAATAGACTGACTCTGTAAACACTTAGAGAGAGCTGTAGAGCACCATGAAGTGGTATATAAGTCAAAGTGCTATTGCTACTCCTTCCTTCCTTCCTTCCTTCCTTCCTTCCTTCCTTCCTTCCTTCCTTCCTTCCTTCCTTCCTTCCTTCCTTCCTTCCTTCCTTCCTTCCTTCCTTCCTTCCTTCCTTCCATGGTGGCGCAGTAGTTAGAATGCAGTATTGCAGGCTGACTCTGCTCATAGCCTGGAGTTTGATCCTGACTGGCTCAAGGTTGACTCAGCCTTCCATCCTTCCGAGGTTGGTAAAATGAGGACCCAGATGGTTGGGGGGCAAATAGGCAGACTCTGTAAACCGCTTAGAAAGGGCAGTAGAGCACCACGAAGCGGTATATAAATCTTAAGTGCTATTGCTATTGGTATCAGGCTTCAGGAATGGGGTGTATTGATGGAACATTTGCATCTTACAGAGAAGGAAGTCTCTAGGTCAGTGACAGCCAAGAAGGACTTAGAGCTGTCACATTAGACACGGGGTTCCTATTGCTGAATTTCAAAGCAGCCAAGCCTTGGAGCGTTGGAAACGAGGCAGGATGTTGGCTAGCCTGGTTTTTTTTGGGGGGGGGGTGACCCTGATAATGAATGGGGCCAATGTTTAGCCTGCGGTACAAAAACGGAACAAAGCCTGGCCCAGATTTTAGGAACGTTAAGAAACGGACGGTGGGGCTGGAAATGCCGCGGCTGGGATAAATGAGTGTGGGTTTTGTTCAGAAGTGGGGCACACTGTGAGTAAATTGCTGGCATGGCTGGCTGGGGAATTCTGGGAGTTGAGGTCCACAGGTCTTAAAGTTGCCAAGGTTAGGCACCTCTGGTTTAGAAGATAGAAGGAATATGAAGATTTAAACTCAATAAACCAGAGAGCTTGCTTCAGATTCAGTTCAGCAGAATATTTGATGGTTCCCCCCCATAAACACATATACATATATTGTACCCCTTTGTTGAATACCGATAGATGTATACTATGAGCACATCAACTGAAGGCACAGAGGAATAACTGAATAACAGAGTTGGGAAGAACCTTGATGGTCTTCTAGTTCAAACTGCTATTGTGGGAAGTCAGCCCCCCCCCCAGAGAAGGAAATATTAAAAGGGCAGAACAATATATTTTCTCAAAGGATTTTAAAGAGGCAGAAAAGCATGCCCAGTTTTTCTTAATAGTCCCAAGTCTCCCTCCCCCAAGCAGAAACCAGCTCTGTAGAAAGGAAGGTTGGAGGCCCCCAGCTAGAAGCTTAGGAAGACAAAGACACCTAAAATCTACATACCCTACCCAAACTCTAAGACAGGACATAATAGGATTAACCCACAGATGCCAAAGGGCACACTCAGACTCAGGTCAAAGTTCATGCCACAGGAACAACTCCAAACAAAAGGCTCCAGAGGGTATAAAAACCCACTCCCTACATGTGCTCTCTCCTTTTTCTTCCAGAGCCATCTTCCTGTCTGGCTCTCCTCTTCAATAAACTGCAACCTTCTTTCTAAAGCAGTCTCCATGTTGTTTATTCCTGGCTTGGACTGAACCATCCAAGAGTTCAACCACCATTGTTGAAGACTCTTCCCTCAACAAAACATTAAACCATTTCAAACAAATGGCTGGCCAAACACTTCTTAAAAGCCTCCCATGATGGAGCACTCACAATTTCGTTCCACTTGTTAATTGTTCTCACTGTCAGGAAATTTCTCCTTAGCTCTGTGTGAATGTATGAACTTCATACCCTTCCAGGAGATTTCCTGAACTTCATAAAACTCAAGAAGAAATTCCAGGCTTTTTGGTGTAGAGGACAAAGAGAAGAAGACCCTCTTCCCCATCCACCTGGTTGTCATTCATTTGAGACAAGAGCATCCATTTCAGCTTTGAACCACACATCTCAACTCTGGTTCTCACCCAGTGAACATGTTGTATCATGCAGGCTGATATCACCACATATATATGTACGACTAATTTATGAAACAAGAGGGTTATGCATGAGTCACATGCTGAGCAGGTCAGATCAGGTGATTTAGCACTGCAGTTTCCTGGGCTAAGCTGATTTGATGTGCTGTACAAACATAGGCTATGATTCCTCGGATGATGTGACCTCAGGAAACATGTGAACCCAGTTACTGAGTTAAACATATAAATGGTTTATATGCAACAACATTTAAGACCTACTTGCATCCAACAATTCCTCAAAGGGTTCTCCTGTCTCATTGTCTGCAAAGCTGCTCCAGATGTTAGG